TAAACACAAAAAGGAAGCTTACAAGAAGTGGAAACTTGGACCAATGACTAGGGAGGAATATAAATATATTGCTCAAGAATGCAGGGTAATTATCAGGAAGGCAAACGCGCAATTGGAACTGCAGCTGGCAAGGGATGTGAAGGGCAACAAGAAAGGTTTCTACAGGCATGTTAGCAATAAGAGGGTGATCAGAGAGGGTGTGGGGCCCTTACTGGATGAGGGAGGTAACCTAGTGACAGATGATGCTGGAAAAGCTGAAGTACTCAATGCTTTCTTTGCCTCGGTCTTCACAGACAAGGTCAGCTCCCAGACAAATGCACTAGGCAACACAGAATGGGAAGGAGGTGGACAGCCCTTGGTGGGGAAAGTACAAGTTAGGAACTATTTAGAAAAGCTAAACATACACAAATCCATGGGCCCAGATTTAATGCATCCGAGGGTACTGAGGGAGTTGGCAAATGTCATTGCGGAGCCTTTGGCCATTATCTTTGAAAACTCGTGGAGATCGGGAGAGATCCCAGATGACTGGAAAAAGGCAAATGTAGCGGCCATCTTTAAGAAGGAAAGAAGGATAATCCAGGAAACTACAGACCAGTAAGCCTTACCTCAGTCCCTGGAAAAATCATGGGAGGGAATCCTCAAGGAATCCATTTTGAAGCACTTGGAAGAGGGGAAAATTATCAGGAATAGTCAGTATAGATTCATGAAGGGTAAGTCATGCCTGACCAATCTGATTAGCTTCTATGATTAGGTAACGGGTTCTGTGGATATGGGAAAGTCAGTGGATGTGATATACCTAGACTTTAGCAAAGCTTTTGATACCGTCACCCACAATAATCTTGCCAGCAAGTTAAGGGAGTATGGATTGGATAAATGGACTGTAAAATGGATAGAAAGGTGGCTAGACTGTCGGGCCCAACGGGTAGTGAGCAACAGCTCGATGTCAGGTTGGCAGTTGGTTTCTAGCGGAGTGCCCCAAGGATCTGTTCTTGGACCGGTTTTGTTCAATATCTTTATTTATGACCTGGATGAAGGGATGGATTACACCCTCAGCAAGTTTGCAGATGACACTAAGCTAGGGGGAGAAGTAGATATGCTGGAGGGCAGGGTTAAGGTCGAGAGTGACCTGGACAGATTAGAGGACTGGGCCAAAAGAAATCTGATGAGGTTCAACACGGACAAGTGCAGAGTCCTGCACTTGGGACGGAAGAATCCCAAGCATTGTTACAGGCTGGGGCCCAAATGACTAAGTAGCAGTTTTGCAGAAAAGGACCTGGGGATTACAGTGGATGAGAAGCTGGATATGAGTCAACAATGTGCCCTTGTAACCAAGAAGGCTAGTGGCATATTAGGGTGCATTAGGAGGAGCATTACCAGTAGATCCAGAGAAGTGACTATTCCCCTTTATGCAGCTCTGGTGAGGCCACATCTGGAGTATTGTGTCAAGTTCTGGGGCCCCCACTTTAGAAAGGATGTGGATACATTGGAGAGGGTCCAGCGGAGGGCAACCAAAATGATTAGGGGGCTGGAGCGCATGACCTATGAGGAGAGGCTGAGGGATTTGGGTCTGTTTAGTCTTCAGAAGAGAAGAGTGAGGGGGGATTTGATAGCAGCCTTCAACTTCCTGAAGGGAGGTTCCTGAGGATGGAGAAAGGCTGTTCGTAGTAGTGGCAGATGGCAGAATGAGGAGCAATGGTCTCAAGTTACAGTGGGGGAGGTCTAGGTTGGATATTAGGAAAAACTATTAGACTAGGAGAGTGGTGAAGCACTGGAATGGGTTCTGGCTTTATGCTAATGAAGCCCGGGAAATTCAAATCCCAGGCTTCATTAGCAAGTTCGGTATGCATACATTACCCCGCTAGTTCGAACTAGCAGGGTAGTGTAGACATACCCTGAGGGATCTGGGTTTGTTTATTCTGCAGAAGAGACGAGTGAGGGGGGATTTGATAGCAGCCTTCAACTTCCTGAGAGAGGTTCCAAAGAAGATGGAGAAAGCCTGTTCACAATAGTGACGGATTGCAGAACAAGGAGGAATGGTCTCAAGTTACAGTGGGGGAGGTCTAGGTTGGATATTAGGAAAAACTATTTCACTAGGAGAGTGGTAAAGCACTGGAATGGGTTACCTAGGGAGGTGGTAGAATCTCCATCCCTAGAGGTGTTTAAGTCTCGGCTTGACAAAGCCCTGGCTGGGTTGACTTAGTTGGGATTGGTCCTGCCTTGGGCAGGAAGCTGGATTTGATGACCTCCTGAGGTCTCTTCCAGCTCTATGATTCTATATACTGAGTAGAATCTTAAGGGTAAGATTCTGAAAATTAGAGGGACAACTCCATGCATACAGTGACATATGCCTACTGCATGCACACAAATACCCAATCTGCAAACACACATGGAATATTTATGAATATACATTAGGCAACTCAGGGGAATGCCTACCTAACTTCAAATATCTATAGAACTGATAATACTTGATGATGATGTATGTGTTAGTCTGCTGTAGTGCTGAACTGGTGTGATCCCAAATAGGAAGACATGTACCTGGTTTATTTATGTACAAATGCAAAACAGTATTTGTTTCTTTCTGCCCAAGGGTGGATTTGACTACCCCAAACCAGACAGACACTGCATTTTGTAACAATCATTCTGCAGCTCACCTTTCAGGAAATGAAACTTTTTCAAAAAACTAGCTACAACGAAGGAGTCACAAAGGTAAAGCAGGAGTCCACTAAACATCAAATCAGAGCAACTGATGTTCAGAGAATGAGGCCGGGAACTCACATAGCAAACTGCAATCTGATTGGAGGAAAGAAAATTCAGAAATTAATTTTGTTCAGACTTCAAAGTAGTGTTGCTTGTTAGGGATTTGCATGGAGCTGCAAATATCTATAACATTTTTACATTTTAGAAATCCTTCCTAACTGTAGGAATGGCCTTCATGATCAACCATTCGTGAGCATCTCAATTGCCCCCAAATAAAAATCCCTCCACTTAACAAAAAGTGCTGTATAAAGAGTTAGGTAGACCTATCAGGATTTACAATCCTCAGCAACTATCTTTCCCCTTAAACAGAAATCTGTGATATGCTTTCCGTGTTTGTATGCATGCACTCACATACACACTCACACAGCTGAATGGTCCAATGCAGCAAACACTTATGGAGTAGGGATGTTAAATTTAGTTTAATCAAATTTAGTTTAATCAAATCAAGTTTAATCAACTAAAACTAATTGACTAGTTGATGGATTTCTCAGGTCACGCTGGGTCCTCCTCCCCCACTGTGCATCAGCCTTTTAAAGGTATTACGAGCCTGCTGGCTTTTAATACATTTAAAAGGCAGAGCCGCAGTGGGGTTAGCTCCTGGGTCAGGAGCTAACCCGGCTCTTTTAAATGCATTAAGAGCCAGTATGCTCTCTCCTGGTCCCCACTACCCTCTGCTTCCCCTGCCCCCCAAAGAGACGATAGTGGCGGGAACCATCTTTTTAGCAGGCTCCCCCAGCACCAGCTCTTGCTCCTGAAGGAGGCAGCAAGGGGGATGGGGAGAAACTAGTTGACTAGTTTACATCCCTATTATGGAGGTAAATAATTATACTTGAGAATAAATTAGACTAGTTGTATAAGCAAAAATTATGCATGTCCATAAGTGTATAAGGATTGAATTTTAAGGTTTTCCCTAGAGCCTCTCGCTTTCCAAAACTCTTTCCTCACTGGGACTTCTCAGGCCTGTTAAGAACCCTGGAGATTCACTGAGATGTTTAAAGGTTTGTTCATCTCCTCCAATAAATAAATCTTCCATAAATCTTTGTGTCTTTGAGCTTATCAGAAATCAGCCATAAAGGAACTTTAGGAACTGAGAACATTTGGGGACAGAACAAGTTGTGAAGTCCATTACATGGCTGACTTGGGGAGAAAGATGAATTGGCACATATACCCAATTTCAACTTTGTATAGTTGGATGAGAAGTCAAAACCAAATGAATCAAAACACTACCAGAAGCCTGCCAGCATCATTCATACTTGATTTTCATTTAAGTCCAAATATATATCTTGGTTTTAGAGAGGGGCACAGTCTGAGCACAGGACTTGGAACCAAGAACTTCTTAATTCTAATGTAAGCTCTTGTGTGTAACTTTCACTTCTTGGCTTCGATTTCCCCATTAAGACACCTCAATAGCTGTGCATAATAGCTTACAGGGATGTTCTGAGGACTAGTCAATGTTCATAAAATGCTATGTAAGACAAAAGGGCTATTCAGATCCAAATAGAAAACACAGACTAGATTACTATAACTATTCCTTACTGCAACTGTAGGATTGTTCTCTGCCTACTTTATTTTTAGTTACATACTAATTCGTTGCGTCTAATCATTCATTTTCTATTTGTAACTTACAAATTGTTTTTAAACATCACAATGATCTAACATGATATTGTTAAGAGGCCATGTAAAAATCCCAAAGTGATATATCAGAGAACTAGTACAACACTTGTGTTAAATATCTGCCTAAACCTCAGAGTTACTTGAAGATTATTCAGTACCTGTGGTCCTAAGTTAAGGTAACAGTCCACAGATAGCACTGGATGGCTATAATTCTTCAGTGAGAGAGGGAAGAAGCGATGGCTGTGGTATTGGAGGTATTTTTCAAGGAGCAGCTGAGCAGGTGCTGCCAAGAACGTATGCTTGCTGTCAGGAGCACAGATGTACTGAGCAGGTGCGATTGAAACTGGAGTTTCAGATACCTACCCGGAAAAAAATTGTGATATAGATAAACCCTGATCAGCCACACCCCAATAATCTGAATTTTGGGTTGTACAAAATACATCTCCATTCCAAAAATCCAAAATGCATATCGTGATCAAAAACAGGTTATTCAAAGCTCCTATCTCCCAAAAGTTTTAGATGTCCATGGAAAACTGGAGTTCATGTGTATTTACATAGCATTTTGGGATTTTGCTTTGAATCAAAAGTTCTTCCAGAATGTGCAACGCTGTAAGGAGGAGTTGTTAGGTAGTACTTTACAACAGTTCTACCTCAAATTCACAGTGGAAGGCTTTCTTATTTAAAAAAAAATTGTGTTGTTTAAGACGTTACACAGGAAGATGAATGACTAGAGGTCAGGGTACATTTATGCCCTTGGAATTGTGAGTTCTAGGAGTATCATGTTAAAAAAAATCTAGTGGCACACATGTCCCATCTCTGGCAATAGAATGTACACCAGCAAATCTCAGCTCTCTACTTTAAAGGTTAATGGCTGAACAAATAACTAACAACAATGAAAAAAATAGCAACTCTTGCCTTAGACTTAATATGGAAGGACCTCTGCCCTCCTACTGCAATTTGCTTTTTCATGACACTGAAGTGATTGAACCGACAGATCAGAAGACCTGCACTGTGGGCACGCAGGTTGAAATCGACATCATCGCACATAAATCTAGAAAAAAATGGAAACCACAGCTATTAATAAACACTGTTTATTATTGAACATTAGCAGATATATAAGCACTCAGACACTACAGTGAAGCAGGTTGTACAGGTGGGTAGGAGTATGATCCCACCACAAATAAGGTCGATGTTAATGTTTTTGTTGAGTTCAAAAGATGTGGATTAGACCCTAGATGAGATATACAAAGATACAGGTCCCTGACCATCTATTTCTCCTCTGTAACAAAAAGCATGTAACAGGTGAAATTTTCAACATCCCTCTGTAGAAATCCTCAGTCTACCTCTACATTTAAAAGCCACAGAATCACTTCGTCATTCAACAGAGTTGCAAAGAGCCACAATTAAGAAATAAGAGTCAAATTCATCCATGTTTTAAGATTTAATTGGGTTAAATTTGGCCCATTTCAAATTAGAGATAAAACTAAATAGAGACTATTCATCCTGATCTGAAATCAGATGTTGGAGCTGCTAGTTAGCAGGTGGAAGAGGTGGGGAGACCAGAGGCTGGAGGATTGCATCTGATGGGGCTGGGAGGCGGAACATGGGGTGTGTGGCTGGGAGACTGTGGTTGATAGGGAAGGGAGGTGAAGCAGGGGAGCTGGGGTTGATGGGGCCAGGAGGCAGAGTAGGAAGCTAGGGGATTGGGGCTGACTGAGCCAGGAGGCAGAGCAGGAGGTTGAGGGGGACAGTGGGTTGGGGCCTACAGGGCTGGGGCATGAGGGGCTATGGAATTGGAGCCACTGGAGCCAGTGCTGCCGGTGGTGGCCCTAAGCATTTGCATCATAGGACACTACTAAATTTGGAGCACCACTGAATCAGCTGAGTATGCTGAGAATGCCTAAGGACTGCCCCATGTATTCTATTAGCAATCTCCTGAGAAATCCAGCTTGAGTCAGTGAGAGTTTAGCCAGAGTGAACGCTTCATGATTTGGTCCTTGGTCTACACCAGTGACACCTATGGATTCACTCACCTGTTCTGATTATATTGTACGTTCTGAGTCAGATCCACATTTAGCATGATAAAGTCATGTACATGGCAACAGGAGAATGGTTCCCTGATTTCACCCCTATTTGTTTTACTAGACCATTTCCTCATCCCAATCAAGGCATAGTGAGTGACATTAGGCGTTGCTTCGATATGTTGCAGAATTTGCCTCAAAGAAACGTTCCTTTCAGTCCATGTATATTCACTACAGCAGATTGGAAAAAAATGTTTCAAATTCAAAGTATACAAAAAATAATCAGCATCCAGTTCATCTGAGCAGTGTCTTACAATAGTTTTAAATATGAGCACGTTAACCAAGCAACAGAGATGCTAGATCTACCTCCCCACCTTTAGTTCTAATCAGAACCTGAAACTACCTTAAGCTCATTTAACTTTGGCTGACAGTAGAGGTTTGAAACACAGCCTGAATTTGTCAGTATGTTCACTAAGGTCTATAAGGGTGTGTCTAGACTACACCTCTCTGTTGACAGAGAGATGTAGATCAGGCACTTCGAAATTGCTAATGAAGCAGGGATTTAAATATCCTGCACTTCATTAACATAAATATGGCCACCGCTTTTTTTCAAAATGGAGCTTTTTCGAAAAAACGGCAGTCTAGACACGGATCTGTTAAATATAAACCCTTTTTTGACAGATTCCTCATTTTTTGAGGAATACAGGATCTGTCAAAAAAGGGTTTATTTTCAACAGATCCGCGTCTAGACTGCCAATTTTTTTAAAAAAAAACCTCCATTTTGAAAAAAGCGGTGGCCATGTTTATGCTAGTGAAGCATGGGATATTTAAATCCCTGCTTCATTAGCAATTTCGACGTGCTTGATTTGCATCCCTCTGTCGACTGAGGGATGCAGTCTAGACGTAGCCTAAATGTTTTAAGTTAGCCTTATTCTTGCTCCAAATGAAAGATCTGTGGCTTTTCATTTACCATTAGCCCTACGTAGCCTAAATGTTTTAAGTTAGCCTTATTCTTGCTCCAAGTGAAAGATCTGTGAAAGAACAAAACTACATGGAATTTTTTTAGTTTTGACTGAGCTTTGCTTCTGTTTTGGGGTTTGACATAAAAATCAGTGGAGTCTCAAACATACAAATCAAAACAGAAGAAAAGATGTCTCCAAATCCCTTCAAAGTAAAGCTGCTAAATTTAGCATAGCTCTAGTAATAAATAAAACCGGCCCAATCAAGTGGGTATAAAAAAATAAAAACAAGGAGACCAGTGGCACCTTAAAGACTATCAGATTTATTTGGGCATAAGCTTTCATGGACAAAAACCCACTTTGTCAAATGACTCTGCATGATGATTTGTATGCATCTGACAACATGTGTTTTTGCTCATGTAAGTTTATGTCCAAATAAATTTGTCACTCTAAGTTGCCACTGGATTCCTCATTGTTTTTGCAGATACAGACTAACAAGGCTACCCTTCTGATACTTAAAAAGCTAAGACACTTGTTTTTATCATATGCAAACCTAAACAAAGTAGAAGTCATATAGGTTGGGGCCATGAAAGGAGCCAAAGTGAGGCAAATGTCCAGGCTCCCCCTGGATTTCAATTAGCTTCTTAGTTCCTTCAAAAATCTTACCCAGAATGCCATCCAGAATGGCTGGGTGACCTTGATGGGAGTAATAGCAAATAAGATACCCTTGGAAGGAATGGAAGGGAAGGGGATCCTTGCTGAAGCACTTACTCCACACAGTAATCTCTCACACCCATGGGCCAGTGATACTGAGTTGCATGCATTCTCCAGTTCCAGTTCCATGTAGAGCTTTGTTTGGCTCTGATCCATCCTACCTATCTTAAGCTAGGAAAGGGAATTTGCTTGCAGATGCCATGGGTTTAGCTGTTCACCCATATGGGAGCCAGGAACGGTGTTTTTCCAATAGGGCTAATTGGCAGAGGGCCAGGGAGTTTTTCACATTTCCAGCATCTTCAAACTACCGGGCTGTGTCTATACTGGGCCACTTATTCCGGAAAAGCAGCCGCTTTTCCGGAATAACTTGCCAGCTGTCTACATTGGCCGCTTGCTTTTCCAGAAAAGCAATGACGATCTACTGTAAAATTGTCAGTGTTTTTCTGGAAAAACTATGCTGCTCCTGTTCGGGCAAAAGTCCTTTTCCGGAAAAACTGTTCCGGAAAAGGGCCAGTGTAGACTGCACTGTAGTCTTTTCCGCAAAAAAGCCCCAATCGCGAAAATGACGATCGGGGCTTTTTCCGGAAAAGTGCGTCTACATTGGCCACGGATGCTTTTCTGGAAAAAGTGCTTTTCCGGAAAAGCATCCTGCCAATGTAGACGCGCTTTTTCCGGAAATACTTATAACGGAAAACTGTTCCGTTTTAAGCATTTCTGGAAAAGGGTGCCAGTGTAGACGTAGCCCCTGGAGTTTAAGTAGGAATGTGCTTGGTTCCTAACTGAGGTACTTGGTGGAATTGTTAATTTTTCTCAACTTGTGGCCAGTTTCCAGTGAGATTAATGGACTATAGTGCACAACACCCACAAATAACAGGTTCTGGATTTTCCTGATGGGACATGGGCTCATGGGATAGGGGGAGAGCTTGTAACTCTTGTGAACCAAGATCAGGTCCTGAAGCTCAACTCCCACCCTTACACATCCTGTGTGCCCCTCGTGGGTGGGGGAAGGGTTAGGACTCAGAGAGAGCAGACTCCTGAAATGAGATAGCTGAGGAGAGCCTACCCTGAATCGTGTGTTGTAGGATAGGAGTCCTATGACTTCTTCACTGGAATTACTTCATGCCTGGTATAGGAGAGTGTGGATGATGTGCAAGTAGTGCCCCTGCCCTGTGTTAAAGCTAAATAAAAGCCAGGACTTTAAAATCCATCCATGTTCGTCTGTCTGCATTGCCCCACTCTATTGAGATCAACTGTCCATGAGCCTGCCACATGTGCCTGCCATCCCTTGGCCAACCAAACTGAATCACAGAACTTCAGAGCCAAAAGCATGAGTCGTGCTGGATTAAACTGAAGTGCTGAGCTGTATGACTGAAGCTATAGACTGGGCACAGATGGGCACTAACCTTTGGGTAATAGGGAGACAAATATATAAGGAAATATTTCCCTGTACCCAGGCAAATACTATTCCCTACTTGTTACACAGAGTAAAAGCCTTGCTGTTTCCAGGATCTCATTTCAACAAGTTGTTCTTGGTCATAGATAAAGAGAGTTTAAAATGACTTTTTTCATATTCTTTAACTGTATTGTTTTACCTCTTTCTGTCTCCTGAGCAATTGACTTCTCCTGCATTCCACATAACACAGGAATCGTCGGAAATCACAATGAAAGGCCAGATATCCTGGGGTTTAATCCCCAATTCCTCTTGCCGATTTCGTTCCAGTTCCAGATTATGGTAAGACAGCTCTTTTATTAGAAAGTGTGCAGCACCTGAAGCCAAAAACAGCATAAAAAAGAGGAAAATTGTGGGATAGGAGGTGTCAGGGGCAGAGACAGATGTTGTTTGTTGATAAGTCTGGAGGATTGCATGGTTTTCTCACTCTGAAAGTGGTGATTAAAGCACTCCAGACACAATTTGTCACCATTCCCCACCAAATGCTACTGAATTGACAAGTATGGGTATTGATAGGCTGCTAAAGCCACCACTGGGAAAACTAATAAGATTAGTTTGATTTCTGTGGTGGGAATTTATGTAATGCCTTTAAACAGGGAGAGACAGATTTACCTCCACCTGTCACCTCCTGGGACTAGTCACTGCATATGGTGATGGACCCACCTAAGTAGGGACAGTCAAAATTCCTTGTCTGACTGCCTTTGGGGTCCCCACAGAGCAGACCCTGGGTGCTCCAGACAAAACTTTCTGGCAGACACTTCCTGAGAAATGCACAGAATCAGGGAGTGCATTATTAGGCACCATCCTCACTCCCTGTCCCTGACCAGCAGCAAACTCAGTTAGGGCTAGTCAGCTCGGAGCTCTGCTCAAGTTCCGCTGCCTTGAGGTGCCATGGTTCCTCCACTGACAAATGTCCTGTGGCCAAGGATCTTCTGCCGTATGTTGCAGCTGGCAGATATTGCTCCAGAGTCACACGTCTACTTCACTAATGTGAGCATTATAGGGTTAAGTATGAATGACTTAACGGGCGTTCCTGGATTTTGCATTTATTTGGGACACAAAGCAGAGAACGACCTATCACAGTAAAGAAGGAGGGTATGGTTCCTGAAGTACTGTGTAGGCAGCGAGGTATCGTCAGACCCTTCTGGGGGGGGAGAGGGGGAAAGGCAAAGGGATAGTTACCCTAGGGCCTGGCGATTCAAAAGTGCCCTGGACTCCCAGTCACCCCTGGACTGCTGCGTGACATGCTCCAGGTGGAGGTAAGGGCTGGCTGCCCTCAGACCCACCCTTCTGCCCAAAACCCTGCCCCCCCTTTAGTATATTATGAGGGATCACTTTATGAAATATTTCAAACTTCTCAGTGTGGGTGTCTATATGAGGATATGCAGTTTTTACCTTCTTTTTTCCCCTCTAATACCTACCTACTCCAGCACTGTTGAAAATACTCGGTAGCACTAGCATGATGTGGTTCGGCCAGTATTTTTTATATATGGCCATTTCATACTCCTTGACAACTAGAAATTATGAGGGATCACTTTATGAAATATTTCAAACTTCTCAGTGTGGGTGTCTATATGAGGATATGCAGTTTTTACCTTCTTTTTTCCCCTCTAATACCTACCTACTCCAGCACTGTTGAAAATACTCGGTAGCACTAGCATGATGTGGTTCGGCCAGTATTTTTTATATATGGCCATTTCATACTCCTTGACAACTAGAACATGCAAATGGCTGGCACCATCCATTGCATGATACAGATTGAAAAGTCCGTGTTCATGGCGCCCAGTTGTGGGAGTAAAAGTGGGGCTTTTTATGTAATCCTGACTCTGTAAAGTAAATACAAAAATGAAGGATGAGTCTCTGTATTATGCTGAATATTATTTAAACAAAGAGGCTCAGATCCTGAGGTGCTGTGTGTCAGGGTAGCTTCACTGTCTTCAGTGGAGTTATGCTGATTTACACTAGATGAGAAACGGGCCTAATATCTAAATAATAGAGAGATTAGGAATTTGTATAAAAGTTGGAAGAGAACAACTGCTATCAAGTGATCAAGGGCTTCAAATCACTTGACTGACTGGTAAAGGAGGAACAGATAAGTGTAGCTCCCGAAAGAACTGCTAAATCTTGATCTACCAGGGATATAAAATCCTCAGTGGCTTGACAGGCCCCAAGGGGAAAAAAAGAAAGTAAAGAATAGAAGAACAAGAAAGCAACCTAACAGTAAGAGAAGAAAGTGAAAGAACAAGGAAAAGACAACGATTATAAAATTACACAGATATAGTGACCTACATTCAAGTTGCTCCTGGTGCTTTGCACACTTGCATTAAGCTTCAAAGCATTCTATGAAGTAGTTAAGTACTGCACAGTTTTTACTGATGAAAAAGTACAGAGATTAAGTGATTTTACAAAAGGTCTCGCAGCAGAACAGTGGTAGGTGTGGGACTAGAATCAGTGGAGACCACATACCTAATTCCAGTGCAGTAACCAATAGTAAATTGAGGATGTTTTTGGTGGCACACAATAAATTGGGATAATTTTGTATTTTGATCAACTTAGAAACAAAACTCTCTCTCAGATAAAGACGCTGCCTAACTTGTTTTGGCAGTGTATTTTTTAGCATTCGTCTGCTAGACTACAATCAAAATTGAAGGATGGAGGCAAGGCAGCCTGCTAAGACTGATAACCTCCACAGCTGTTTTCCCTCAAGCTACAATGAGGTTCTTTGCATAGTTACCATAGAGATTCTTTCAAAACCCTCCTTTATGTGGTTGGGTGGAACCACAGGCAAGCACAGGCAAGCTAGTGATAAATTGCTTGCTCCTATTAAGCCATGGGCTAAACATAATGATGTACATTTGATTCTCATAGCTGAGACCATCCTCTCTTCAGTGTCTTTATCCAGAATCCTGAGAACTCCTGAATTGCTGCATAATAATCTCCAATTGTCATAGTCCCAGCTAATAAGCAATGCATGCCCAGGACCAGCCTTGATTCTGAGCAAAGTATTTGATTGGGACCTTGCGTTCCAAGCTATTTCTGCACCTTGTCTCCCTCTCCAGCAAGGGCACCCAAGGAGAAGGAAACAACTCACTGCCAGGCCATTCTCACCATCTCCTGGTAGCAGGGTAGTGAAGCCAAAGAATGGTCTGACCTTACAGATTTTTACATCAGATCTGTCTATGCCCCATATGTGACTATAAATACAATTATCCATCTACCTTGTCTGTGACAAGTGGTAACCTCATGCTTTCCAGCTGTCTTCCCGGTTGACTAAACACAAAATGGTGCTCCTTTGACTTGGGGATGATAAAATGCAGCTGGATCTCCTCCCCGAGCATGGAATAGGAAAAGGCAAAAGCATGCAGGGTGGACTCATAAAGCTGA